TGTCGGCACAGAGTCCTACATGGGGCTCGAACTCACGAACCGTGAGATCATGACCTGAGCTGAAGTCATATGCTCAACTGACTGAGCCACCCAGGCGCCCCATATCAGTTATTCTTTCAGAAAAATACCGTGAGCATGAGTGAGAGAAGGTCATAGGAAATAGGTAATTTTTCACTAAGTTGGACTGTCTTGAGGGATACCTCATACCTTTTAAAAATTTTTTTCCACTTATGTTCATCATTTCATCTTTAGGAACAGTTTTGGCCAAGAGACAAAGAGGTAAGCATTTGAGAAATGTGTTTGTTGAGGGGCACCTGGGTGGCTCAGTGGGTTAAGCATCCGACTCTTGATTTCAGCTCAGGTCATTATATGGTTTGTGAGTTCGAGTCCTGCATCTGGCTCTGTGCTGACAATGCAGATTCTCTCTCCCTTTTTCTCTGCTCCCCCACCCAAAATAAATAAATAAAAACTTTAAAAACAAAAAGAAATTTGTTGAATAGGTGAACAATTCGTACTTTGTCTTTTAATTTATGCAATAAATTTAAAGATATATTTAAAAATTTCATTTTACATTTTAAATATTTCTTCCCTTACTCTGATCTTGGACTGTCTGCAGACAGGCCTTAACTTCACAAACTGTAAATCACACTAGACTAGTTTCTTGCTAATGCATATTGATAAAATTTTATTATAATTCACATTAACTCTTACCAGAATTGGGTTTTATAGGAAGTAGGCACCAGAATTGTTTGATAATAAGGAAATGATTATGGCCAGAGAACGCTAATGAGGACACATTTTCCCACATTTACATTATGGTAAGAGTTGAAAGACTAAAAAATTTGGAAGCAAGCAGATATCTCAAAAAGGGGGATTGTTTAGCAAACGGTAGACCAGTAGCGAGCAAAGGAGTCATCCAGCTGCTTCTACCCCAACTGGGCCTGGGTTGAATCTAGGGCTTACTGAAGTCACTGCCCGCCTCCCAACACCTGCGTAAACATTGACGCTGTTGGCCGGTCCCACTGTGACCTCTACCCAACTGCAGCCCCCTTGGCTGACCTTTATAATGATCTCTGACCTTCACTGGCCATAAACTTGGGGGGGCATCTTTGAGCTCTGAGCCTTCCAAAGGCAGGTCCGTGATTTACTGCTTGATTGGAGATAAGGTGATTTACTGCTTGATTGGAGATAACGCCGCTTTGGAGAGCCTCGGACATATATTTCCTGCATCAGCCCCATGAGGAGAACGAATGTGCTGAAAAAGGCACGAAGCCACCTAACTGATGAGGTGGCTGAAATCTTCGGGTCAGGCGATAACACAGCCACATGATGGCAGCTGGAAGGGTGGTGACACCTCACTCTGGACTGAGTGTTACACTCGGGAAGAAAAAGGGTAAAGGAGTCATTCTTGGAACTGCACGAATGAGCCGCTGACTAGAACAGACTGACTCTTGAATCTGAACCGTGGGTCAAATCCATTATTGAACTGGGTGGCCACATGATCAACATTGGAGATGGCTGTCCCGATCCAGCATGAGGAGAGGCTTGAGGCCAGCGCACCCGAAGGATTTGACTCTACCTTGGCCAACTTCCCACAGCTGCGGGTGCGAATTCTCCTCTGTCTGCAGGGCACTGCTAAGCACCTGTGGGTTACTTGTACCGTTCCTAAACTGCATCCAAACCTCCTCATGCATTGTCCCCTGTAGTGCCTTTCCATCTAGTTATGGGATTTGGCATCCTAAACATAACATACACACAGCACTAAACATCTGTTATAATTCATTGAAAAACCAAGAGGCTGATAAAAAATGTTCAAAGATCACGAATAGGCAGTTGACAAACGAAGACCTAAATATTGCCAGTGTATATCTAAAAAGATGTTCAGCCAGCGGAGATGCAGGGAGGAGAGGCGTCATGGTGTAGTAATTGCGTGGGCTCTGGAGCCCAGACCGGCTGGACTCGCGTCCTGGCCCTTCTTCTTGCAACTTTCACCAGGTTCCTTCATCTCTTTGGATTTCAGTTTCCTCTTCTGTAAGACGAGAAGATCAGCCTAATAGCACTTGCCTTACAAGTTGTGACTGTGCACAAGGTTGACATCTGTGAGGTGTTTGGTTAGCACAGCACCTGGCACGGTGAGTGCCCCGCAAAGCTGCTGCCGTGGCTGGTGGGGGCGAGGATGGCAGCCAGCGCTAGATTGTTCTCCAGAGTGGCTTTGTCCATTCACGTTTCACCAGTGGTTATACGGGCGTTCCTTTACCTCCCATCCTTCTGATATTGTTAGACTTGCAAATGTTAAACAAATCAGCAGATGAAGAGTAGAATCTGAGGCGGTTTTGTTTTCATGTTCCTTCTGCCAGGGAGGTGGATGGAGCATCTTGTTACGACTTTTTTGGTGGTTGGAGATTCCTCTTTTGTGAAGGGCTTACTCATAGCCCATTCTTCTGTCAGTCTTTTGTCTCTTTCTTATTGATTTTTTAAATTGATTTCTCATTCACACAGCAAATATTTATTGAGGATCTTTTGTATGTCAGACACTCCTTTAGGCGCCAAAAATACAAAGGGAAATGCTGTTTTGTGCATTCCATGTACTAGTTAGAGGAAGAATAATAAATACATAGCACAGGGGCGCCTGGGTGGCGCAGTCGGTTAAGCGTCCGACTTCAGCCGGGTCACGATCTCGCGGTCTGTGAGTTCGAGCCCTGCATCAGGCTCTGGGCTGATGGCTCAGAGCCTGGAGCCTGTTTCCGATTCTGTGTCTCCCTCTCTCTCTGCCCCTCCCCCGTTCATGCTCTGTCTCTCTCTGTCCCAAAAATAAATAAACGTTGAAAAAAAAAATAAATTAAAAAAAAAATAAATACATAGCACAATTTTAGCTACCAGTAAGTTACGAGAAGAGGTAAAGCAGGGCAATCATAAAAATAGTTAACATTGAGTGATTTCTGTGTGCCATCTACCGTACTAAGTTCGTACATGTATTAATTCGTTTTCTTCTTGCAATTCTTCCTGTCTGTTCAAAACTCCATCCTTTTACGGCTGTGGAAACTGAAGCACAGACAGGTTAAGTAATATATTCCAAGTCACACAGCTAGAAAGTAGTGGAGCCAGAATTAAAAACCAGGTGGTCAGACCCCTAGCTAGTGCCTGCAATCCTAGCCCGGATGTCGTGTTTTCTCTCTGTGCTGTGCTGGGGAGAAAATGGGAAGGCGAAAAGAGCTTTTTGTGGATTCTGACCATTGGTAGTATTTTATCATGTGCCTTATGAATATCTTGTCTCACTATGTAGTTTAACATTTTTATTTATAATGGGTTTGCCACAAAATATTTAACTCCGATGTAGTCAAGTTATTGCCTTTTATTTGTGGTTTGTTTTTTTGAGTCCTTGCATAAGGAATGATTTCCTTCACTGATGTTAGGAAGCTGTTATCTCATTCTTTCAGTTTTTCATTCAACAGGTGTTTACTCAAGCACCTACTATATTCCAGACACCATCCTAGGCCCTGGGTGGATGTTAACTACACTGACAAATATCACCGCCTTCAGTGTTTTTTTTTTTTTAATAATTTGTCAAATTGGTTCCATACAACACACCCAGTGCTCATCCAAAGGTGCCCTCCTCAATACCCATCACCCCACCTCCCTCACTCCACCCCCCATCAGCCTCAGTTTGTTCTCAGTTTTTAACAGTCTCATATGCTTTGGCTGTCTCCCCACTCTAACCTCTTTTTTTTTTTTTTTTCCTTCCCTCCCCATGGGTTTCTTATTCAAGTTTCTCAGGATCTTAAAAAATTGGCTCATATGGTATCTGTCTTTCATAAACCCCACTTAGCACTCACACTGCCAGTTCTATCCACGTTGCTACAAAAGGCCATATTTCATTTTTTCTCATTGCCACGTAGTATTCCATTGTGTATATAAACCACAATTTCTTTATCCATTCATCAGTTGATGGACATTTAAACTCTTTATAATGTACCTATTGTTGAGGGAGATGCTGCTATAAACATTGGGGTACAAGTGCTAATAAAATAAACACCTCCTATGGTAAATTCTAGCAGTGTATTGCTGGGTCATGGGTAGATCTATTTTAATTTTTGAGGAACCTCCACCACCAACTGCTTTCCAGGCGGCTGCACCAAGTTGCATTCCCACCAACAGTGCAAGAGGGTTCCCGTTTCTCCACATCCTCTCCAGCATCTATAGTCTCCTGATTTGTTCATTTTGGCCACTCTGACTCCGCCTTCAGTTTTAAAGTTATATTTTCTAACTTTGGGTCTTTAACTCATTTAACATTTGTTTATTTTTTTGAAGTATATTTCTTTTGAGAGAAAGAGAGAGAGCAAGCACAGGGGAGGGGCAGAGAGAGAGAAGAAGAGAGAAAATCCCAGGCAGGCTCCGTGCTGTCAGTGCAGAGCCTGATGCGGGGCTCAGTCCCGCAAACCACGAGATGGTGATCTGAGCTGAAATCAAGAGTCAGATGCTTAACTGACAGAGCCAACCAAGCGCCCCTAAAATTTATTTTTGTAGTTTGTGGGAAGTACAAAACTAATTTTAGTTTTCTCCACAAAGGAAGTCAGTTTTCCTGATACTATTTACTGAAAGTTCATTTCTTCAGTTGTTGGTGATGTGATCATTGTCATATAGCAGGTTCCTGTACATCATGGGTTGTTACTGGTCTGCCTATGCTATTTCATTGATCTCTTTGTCTGTTATTGAGCTCTGTGGTATTTTTTTAAATGTTTCCTTTGTAAAGGCATTGTGATTATTTTTTTTCAGTGATTATATTTATTTCCTTTTTTTTTTTTTACGAAGATCAGCCTAATAACGCATACAAGTTGTGACTGTGCACCGGGTTGACATCTGTGAGGTGTTTGGATTGCTTTACAGCACAGCACGGTGAGTGCCCGCCAGCTACTGCTACTGTGTGGTAGAGGCGAGATGGCAGCCAGCTAGGTGTTCTCAAATTAGCTTTGTCCATTCGTTTCACCAGTAGTTACGCCAGGCGTTCACTTTACCTCCATCCTTCTGATATTGTTAGACTTGCAAATGTTAAACAAATCAGCAGATGGCTAGAATCTGAGGCAGTTTTGTTTTTCATCATCATTCCCTTCTGCCAGGAAATTAGATGGAGCATCTTATTCCATTTTTTGGTGGTTGGAGAATTTCACGCACCTCTTTTTTGTGAAGGAGGCCTCATAGCCCATTCTTCTGTCAGTCTTTGTCTCTTTCTTATTGATTTTTTTAGAATTGATTTCTCATTCACACAGCAAATATTTATTGAGAGGATCTTTTTGTATGTCAGAACCTCCTTTGGGCGCCAAAAATACAAAATGCTGTTTTGTTGCATTCCATGTACTAGTTAGAGGAAGAATAATAAATACACAGGGGCGCCTGGGTAGCGCGGTCGGTTAGCGTCCATTCAGCGGTCACGATCTCGCCCGGTCTGTGAGTTCGAGCCCTACATCAGGCATCTGGTGATGACTCAGAGCCTGGAGCCTGTTTCGATTCTGTAATGTCTCCCTCTCTCTCCTCACCCCTCCCCCACGTTGCATGCTCTGTCTCTCTGTCCCAAAAATAAATAGCGTTGAAAAAAAAATAAATTAAAAAAAAATAAATACGCCTGCTTTAGCTACCAAGTAGGATACGAAGAAGAGGTAAAAAGCAGGGCAATCATAAAAATAGTTAACATTGAGTGATTTCTATTGTGCCCATCTACCGTACTAAGTTCGTACATGCCGATGATTCGTTTTTCTTCTTTACCCATTCTTCCTGTCTGTTCAAAAACTCCATCCTTTTTTCTGACTTTTGTAGGCACAGACAGGTTAAATGTCATATTCAAGTCACACAGCTAGAAAGTAGTGGAATTAAAACAAGGTGAATTGAACCCTATTTAGTGCCTGCAATCTAGCCCGGATGTCGTGTTTCTCTCTGTGCTGTGCTGGGGGAGAAAATGGGAAGAAAACGAAAGGAAACTTTTGTGGATTCTGACCATTGTTGATATTTTATCATGTGCCTTATGATATCTTGTCTCTACTATTAGTTTAACATTTTTTATTTATAATGGGTTTGCCACAAAATATTTAACTCGATGTAGTCAAGTTATTGCCTTTTTATTTTTGTTTTTTGAGTCCTTGCGCAGGAATGATTTCCACTACTTTGATGTTAGGAAGCTGTTATCTCATTCTTTTCAGTTTTTCATTTCAACAGGTGTTTACTCAAGCACCTACTATATTCCAAGACACCTCTCCTGAGCCCTGGGTGGATGTTAACTTCACTGATGAATATCCTTCAGTGTTTTTTTTTTTTTAATAATTTGTCAAATTGGTTCCATACAACACACCCAGTGCTCATCCAAAGGTGCCCTCCTCAATACCCATCACCCCACCTCCCTCACTCCACCCCCCATCAGCCTCAGTTTGTTCTCAGTTTTTAACAGTCTCATATGCTTTGGCTGTCTCCCCACTCTAACCTCTTTTTTTTTTTTTTTTCCTTCCCTCCCCATGGGTTTCTTATTCAAGTTTCTCAGGATCTTAAAAAATTGGCTCATATGGTATCTGTCTTTCATAAACCCCACTTAGCACTCACACTGCCAGTTCTATCCACGTTG